AAAAAAAATAGCTTTATTAATTTATGAAATTTTAAGTATAGGTTACCATTTGAAAATCAAAAGTTGATAGTGGTTTATCTAATAAATATAAGGGTGAAAAATATAAAAAAAATAAACAATTCAAGAAGAGTGTAAATCTACAATTTTGAAAAAAAAAAAAATTGAAAAAAGTCAATACTTTTAAATAATGAGTGTTGTTTGATAAAAGAATCATCCCATATATGTTTAAATATCTTTGGTCTTACATATTTGTACTAATAATTAATATACAATACAGTGCACACATCATCATCAATACTTTTAGAAAATCTAGGGAAGGTTCAAGAGAGGTGTATTAAAAAAAATGTAATTAAATAGTAAAGTAATTGACAAGTAAACCAAAAATTAAACAGAAGAAAAAAATATTACGTTCCAGTACAAATTAATAAAGACATGATTTTTATGAATTTAATCATTTGATATTTAATACTTTCAAATGTACTAGCTTATATTTGGATGGCTTTTAAGAAAATTAAATGCATTGATACATTCTAAGATATTTCATAACAGTACAGCTTACATTGATTTATTTGCATTAGATTTCCAAAAAACCTATCTTTTCTTAAATTAGCATCACTTAGATAAAATTCTAATAATTGTTTTATATCAGTGTAAAGTTGCTTTTTTCGTTTTCTAACTCGATTCAATGTAGATTTTAGAATATTTTCTTCAACGCTTTCAATACTTATATCACTGGATGGTTCCATTCTAAAATAAACAAATAAAAAACATTATGAATACATCTTATATAAAAAGAAGTATTATTAATAATTAAAGCTTGCAAGTATTATTTTCATTATACTTCAATCAATCGATCAATAATCGAGACATTTAATACAAGTGAACATTAATGGTACTCAAGTAGAGTGGTAATATAAATAAAGTAATTGTATTAATCTGGTAGACATAGTATCTGTAAGTAATCRAGATAATACACAGATTTTATACTTATATTTAAATATGTACATAAATTATTTCTTTCCTTATAAAAAGACATAGTATATTGTAACATAGACATAACGAGTAAAATAACAATTGATATATATTATATAAAAACAATAAATTAACTGTTCTCCCTAAAAACAGCTAATGGTCATTTTTTCCAGGCTTAGGATCAATAAAATAAAAAATTTAATTCAGACACGAATTAATGAAAAAAGTTTATTAACAGAACTCCAAAAGTAGTTTAACATAATGTTTAAAATACTTTGTTATAGTTAAAATTAAGTCGTGAATTAGAGCAATGATCAATCCATTAAAAATAATAATCTACTTTGAAAATAAACAGTCGCATAAGGCATAATGCATAAATTTATAGATCTAAATAATGTCAAATATACTATAAACATGGTAACATGAAAAAAATAATTAATAGAGTTAAAAATTAGAATTAGTAAACACGGTTTTTACTTTAAATGTAAAATTGTGTACCTGTTCGTTCGATATCAAGGACAACTTAACTGAATTACTGAACATCCAACAAACAACATAGACTTCACAGTTCACAGTGATTGATGAGAAACCGTTAACGAATAACGATATCGGATATCCTCGTCCCTCGAGTTCAGTTAAAACACTTTCACATTCACACGTCTGATTTTTCGATATTTACACTATGYTMTCTGCAGTATCAGTTGGTGTCGTTGTTAAAAGGCGATCGAACATTGACGTTTAAAACATTAAACCGGTATCCAGGTATCAAACAATCAGCAATCAATTACTATCATGGCGGATTCACCGAGATAACAGATAATATGTTTATCATTTATACGGATTGTTATTTTGATTTTTTGAATATTACCTATTATTATAAAATAAACATTTTATTGTGGATAATTTGATATGTGCAATTGTGCAAATCACAATACATATTATCRTCATATTATATGAATATTGAATGCAACTATGGGAAATATTTCGGATGCATACTACATAATATTTTGATTTTTATAATGTTCGGTGGTTATAAAATATTTACGTATTAAAATAATATTATTTATATTATTATAAATCACTGTGCCTGGAGTCAGAATGGTCCTAGTGTTCAACATTCGTTGACTGATTATAACCACAGAACGATTGCTTTAAAAGATGTGTTTGAGCTAGCTATGACATTTTATTGTGTATATTTTACGACTGAGTAGTGGGTATACATTTTATAGTATACATAGTTTTATAAAAAGTGGATAATTTAAGATCCTAAAGTCCTAGACAACTTGTGTGTACTGCATAGATGCTTAATTGCTTAATATAGTAGAAAATGGAAAGCAAAAACAAGGAAGTGAGATCGTGATCTATGATAATTGATAAAAAAAATATTTAATAGAGATAAAGTACTGAAGTCAACAAAGTTTTATCTGTGGACGTCAGTCAAGTTTAAAGGTAACCAAATCGCGGGATACAAAATTCCTTTTCCAATCGCTGTCGGTACAAAACTAAACTTGATAAAAATCAGGGTTTACATCGATTGATAACAGCCCAGCCAAAAATTTTTTTTAGAACGAAAATGTTCTTGACGAAATTTCGCTTGCCAAATTCGTCTGATTTGGTAAGTTTAACGTAACATGTACGGTGCTCTCTAAGTATCTGTTAATCTGTCAAAACTCAAAAGTTATCCATGAAAGACCAACCGAAATGATACAACGTTTTTCTTTGGATGCTGTGAACCTACACCATTTGCAGTGACCTATTAAAGATAATATATAAACAAATATCAAAGGTGATTGTAATAATATGTAGTTAGACGATTGCATAAATACATTTTTGTATCGTGTATATAAACAAATCCTTTTTGTTAAGGTTTTAATATGAGAGTAGTAGCATTAATCAGTGGCGGTAAGGATAGCTGTTATAACATGATGCAGTGTATAGCAGCAGGCCATGACATTGTTGCATTGGCCAACCTAAAACCCCAAAGTAAAGGTAATTTCCCTTATTTAGTTCTTAAACCATTAAAAATACCTGTGACAATTAAAATGAATTCAATATATTAAAAAAAAATATTTTTTTAACTAAATTCTTTTGCAACAAAAATAGATGAGTTGGATAGCTACATGTATCAAAGTGTAGGTCACCAAGCAGTAGAATTATATGCAGAAGCAATGGGACTACCATTRTTCAGGCAACGTACGAACGGGGTTGCATTGCAACAAGAGAAAATTTATACTCATACTCCTGAAGATGAAGTCGAAGATTTGTTTGATCTCCTTGCTAATATTAAAGTATTTGTTCATTGAAAAAGTATTAAGTAATATTAAATTATGCATTTTTTCATTCAATAATTTTAAATTTAGACACAAATTGAATTTGATGGTGTAGCTGTGGGTGCAATACTTTCTGATTATCAGCGTTTGCGTGTTGAAGATGTGTAAGTTAACTGTTATATACAACATAATTTCAAGAATYCCTTATAAATTGTAAAGAATATTTCATAATTTCTAGGTGTTCAAGATTAGGTATTTGCTCACTGTCATATTTGTGGCGTCGTGATCAAAAAGAACTGCTACAGGAAATGATTGATTGCAATATTGAAGCAATTGTTATTAAAGTAGCAGCACTTGGATTAGACCCTACAAAACATTTGGGATTGCGAATTGATAAGCTTATGCCACATTTAGTTAAAATGGTAATGTGGAATATTTATTCTTTCTAAATAATATTTGTATTTAGATATATATATGTGTGTGTGTGTATACATATATATTATATAAATATATATTTATATATTCACTATTGCATGACTAACATGCTACTCCAATAATGGAGGTTCTAGAAATGCATTTCATAAGTCAATTTTTTTTTAGGGAATGTTAGTCTCTGTATGCCGGATTAGTGGCAATTTTTTTATTTCTTTACAATAAGTTTGATACACATTATGCAAGTTATACTATCATTTATTTCTAGATTAGGCATAGCAATAGGAGTTTAGTAGTTTGATTGTTAATAATTTATCAAAGATTATCTTTTTAAACTTTTGGGAAAAAAAAATTTAATAAATTATGAAATACTTTATACTTGGTGGTGACTTCTTTTATGGTGCCCTATTAATATGGGATATAAGTATAGGTGTCTGTTATATTAATTTTTATTGAGTGTAATACGTATCTGACACAGTGGAGATGAATTGGGGTTCTTCCCGTTTTCTCCTTGACTTTTGTGTTGGTTTCCAGAATGAAAAATATGGCTTAAATATATGTGGCGAAGGTGGAGAATACGAAACGTTCACTCTAGACTGCCCTTTGTTCACCAAATCGGTGATCATGTAAGTATACAAATAAATCCACACACTTGATCACAAACATATTAAAATACAACATTTTTTACCATGTATATTCCAGTGATCAATGTTGTAATAGTGGACAACATTCTAGTTTTAGAAAACAACATAGAATTGTTTGATATTAGTTCCTACTTGAGAATTATTTTTAATTTGTCATCTATAATTAGAAAAAAAAATATAGGTGGATTTCATATTACCTAGTTGAAAGCAGTTTATTAAATTGTTTGTTACGTTTTATTATTTTTTATTTTTTGATAGAAACATTTCATAATAACTATATACATATTTACTATATTTACATACATTACACATATAATATGTTTATATATTAGTTCATTATTCTAACATTATCAATATTATAATACATTTTATAATATTAGAGGAATCATAATTAAAAATATATTATGTATATAATTTTTTATATTATATCTAGCTGCTTATAATTTTACAATTTTTAATATACTCGAATGTTATTACACAAACGTGTTCCACACAAAATAAATAACCTAAAATATGTCATTATTTTTCAAATTCAATGAGATAATATATATTTTAAACGGATTATGTGATTAATGGTGCAAATGTTACATTAGAAATATTACTTTAATATTTTTCAGTGAAGAGTTTGAAACTGTGATGCATACCAACGACACTATTGCTCCTGTGGGATATATAAATTTTAAAAAATTTTGCTTATTAAAAAAACCGGTTAGTCAAATTTTAAATTTATATTATGAGTTTGTTACAAGATAAATAAAAGTAATACGAATCAACAAACTATTAAAACAATTGTCTTTTTTTACTCTTTCACATATAAAATTATATGTGGTTTTATTTTTGTTGAAAATGATATTTTAATAATTTTAAATTTATATTATGAGTTTGTTACAAGATAAATAAAAGTAATACGAATCAACAAACTATTAAAACAATTGTCTTTTTTTACTCTTTCACATATAAAATTATATGTGGTTTTATTTTTGTTGAAAATGATATTTTAATAATTTTAAATTTATATTATGAATTAGTATTTTTATTAAAATCTAAATAATATGTAAAATGTTTATTCAAACATTTTTTTTTCTTTAAGAATGTTGATGAGAATCAGAGTTTTCGTGATCGTATGGCTTGTTATCGAGTACGTAGTCCCTTAGCTCACTTGTTGGACTTGGATGATTTAGAAATTGACCTTGGTACTGTCACTGATGGTGACAATTTTGATGATGATGCTTCAGAAAATAATAGTATCATTATTGACCAGACTGATGGTCAAGTGTACTTTGGGGAAGTTGTAGAGACAGATTCTGTGTCTTGTATTGGTTATCCAAATGGATGGACTTGGATTAATTCATTAACTGGCTATTGGGTTGGTGATAAATCTCCAGTTATAGTTGCTCTTGAGAGATTAAGAGGTAATTGTGTTTATAATTTAATAATTTATATAATTTTACTAATAATTTATATAATTTTACTAATATTGTATAATGACGTAAGTATAATTTAAATTATGATGCCAAGTTTACATTATTTTAACTATGAAAAATTGATTTTAATTAAAATACCTAATTGTATATAAAGGGTTAACTGTTTTTTTTTCTGTAAATTGAGGTTTGGTATGAAAAATATTTTTAATT